TAGCCTAGGTATATTGTTTCCTTGCCCCCCAAATAAAAAATAAAAAAAATTCACTTTATTAATATTTCTCAAAACAATTGAGGCCGGGGACCTCATAATTTAACCTGGAGTTATCCCAGCAGCCTCAGCCGGTTTTGCTTATCGAGCACCGATGTCGCTTCGAAACTTCTCTCTTCCTGTACCTTCCTCACTAGCCTGTACTCACAATATCTGATCCTAGCCTGCCTTTATCAGCTACTACTGGGCCTACTTCGACCCTGGGACTACTTAAAATACAGAATCCATTAAGAAACATTGCACTTGGTGCAGTAGTTGCCCCTATCCAAGATCCTTTACTCTTCAAGTCCATGAGAATACGAGTTAAAATAAGACTCCAACATAAAGAGATAGATGATTCGTAAAGATTGCTTGCGGCTCAGCTACTACTGGGCCTACTTCGACCCTGGGACTACTGCGGCCCATTGGACGCCGTCCGCCTATCGTGGCACTCGCCTACTTGGTCCACTGTGACCCTACAGAACCGAGTGCCCTGGTATTTAATCTGAGTAAGTGGTCTCCTAGTAACTTCCTTGCTACTTTGCCGCTTCCAGCATTGTAGACTCGCTGCTCCCTTCTCCTTTCGAAATGTCTCATCTCCACTAATCTATGGGCCAGATCCCACTGGCAAAGAGTATTCGAATAAGCCTCTGAATCTGGACGTGTTTGTTGAGAGGTGCAAACAATTGTGATTGAACTGCTTTTCTGCATCTCTGTGCGGAACACGTCCAGATTCGGCCAGTTATTCCAATCCTCTTTGCCAGTGGGATCTGGCCCTAATCTAACCTAATCTAATATAATCTCCCGTGTTGTGGAGTTCAAGTAGTAGCCATTTTTTAGATATAAGGAGTCCTGCATCTGGCCGTACTGTTGCCAGTTTCCCTGCCTTGCCCAGGTTGGTTTGAACCATTTGAGTTGGTTCCTGGATCCAGCCTTTCCCCTACGTTGCCCGCGCGTCTCCAGTCGTCTCCGATCGCTGTTTTAACCTCCAGTCCACTCGGATCGCTGTTTTAACAGCTTTTTTAAATCCTCGTTTCAGCTCCACATCCGACGTAGGCGGCTTCTCGAACCGAGCTCTGTTTCTGTCTGCCCAAATAATCTCCATCATTATACCTCTGAGTACATGTGCGACGTACCTGACGTAGGGGGTTGGAATGGGAGGAGAGATGGGTGTTGTTGGGGTTTCTACCCAGTGCCCACTTTCCCGCACATCTCTTACGGTAGAAACCCCAACAGCACCCATCTCTCCTCCCATTCCAACGCCCTACCACCCGTTCTCTCTTCCAGTGGTACTCCCACCACTTCCACAGTCGTTAGAGGCCGGGCACTTCCACCAAAGGTGCCGAGTTGATTCGAATGGCCCAGTTACACCGTCCACAACCAAGTTCCACCACCATTGCTTTGCTCAACAGCCAAACTGCTGATGGGGTGACCAGCAGTGATAACGTCCAGAGCAGACTGACTTGCTTTCCATTTGGTAGCCTGATCAATATTTTCCACAGTTGATTGAACTTGGTTTCTGCCTCTGGAATCTCCTACCCCAGCATTGTTTGCCATCTGTGCTTTGCTATCGATGCTGGGGTCCTTCCTGCCATTCTCACTGCCTCATACCCTTCCTTTACTGTATACTGTGACAGATTGAGGTTTACCATTGATGCCCCTTCCTTTTCCAGCTCCAGGCTATCGGTTCGATATTCAACTCCTGCAGTGGCACTCTCCCTATCCATTTCCAGGATCCTTGTTCTCCTGCATTGTTTTTGCATTTCCACCACTCTTATTTGACTTCGATTACTCCACCTCCTTATGCTCTCATTGCCCTCTCTGCTTAGCATGTTAGTGTGTTCCGCCGCTCTCCACCTTTCCATTTTTCTGAATCCACCAGTTTCCACACTGCCTCTGTGTTGTTCTCTTCCGCCGCCTTGTACCATGTTCCGCAGGGGGTCTACCCCTTCTGGACGGGGGGGTCTACCCCTTCCGGACCTACCGTCTTCCCCCGAACACAACGCACCCCCATTTTGCCTGTGTCGGGCCGGAAACATACCTTGTATAAGTTCATTTTCAGGGTGCGTCATGTTCGGGGGAAGACGGTAGTATAGACTTCTGCCCGAGGGGGTCTACGCCTTCCGGACCTAGTATAGACTTCTGCCCGGGGGGGTCTACCCCTTCCGGACCTAGTATAGACTTCCAGTCCTCTGGTATAGCATTTATTACTGTCCTCCAATGTTCTTCCGCCGAGTGCAGTCCTGCCAGTTCTTCCTTAATTTCTGATACCGACTTCCAGGCCCCCAGTAGCGGTGACCACAGGTCTCTGATGCGTACCACCCACCTCCTTATCCAAGCTTGACCGAATGATGACAAGGATCCGTTGGCTGCCAGCATCTCCCCATTCAGTTCCTTAATCCTTGGGTTCTCGAATATGATCTGCGTCAAGACCTCTTCCTTCGTATGTGGCTGGTTCTGCACCTCGGGGGGGTGCTTCCTCCAAGCTCTACAGATAGCATTCCAGAAGCTTGAGGTCCGTTTCTGCTTACAAAAGGAAGGTATGAAAAAGCAGGCCCAGATGTCTTCCGACCGACGTAGCCTCCAGTTTTTCATTAAGATTCTTTCTGCAAGTATAATCCAGTGTTCCTTCGGATCTGAGATTGCGACTCCCACAGTTGGCCAGTTCGTGATGTAGAATTCCACTGTAGTCCGTGCTATGTAGAGATGCATAAGAGTGCGATTCCATCTCTCCCTGGCGACTTCACTTTTGGCATAGACCGCAATGTTTCGGTAGTGTCTACTAACTTCATCGGTCTCTCCAAGTCTAGTCTGGACGTAGTAGATAGCCTAACCGCTGTGCGGTCCCACATTTCTGATTCCAACGGGAGGTCGAATATGTATATTGTAAGAGAGAGGCAGAAAAAAAAGATGAATTAAAACATAAAATAAAAATGATTAACTAATACGTATATTGTAAGAGAGAGGCACAAAAAAAAGCTAATTTTTCTCAGTGATGTATCAGGACGGGAAGAGGTGGAAAGGGGATCAGCCTAAAACGTTCTGTTACAGGGGTTGGGCACGGAAAGGGGGACACAAAAGTAATACTTGCATGCAAGCAATGGCCTGAAGGGCACACACTGCAATTTCTGAAATCTGCCGTGTGCCCTTTTGATGGCCACAAATTTGCAGAATGCCCCTGTCAGACGATAAGCATCCAATTTGCACTTCTGCCCTGGGCCTCCAGCCAATTTGCACTTGGCGCTCTGGTTGGCTTGTACCTATTACCGTCTTTGCCCCATTAGAAGGCCGGGTATTTATAGCTGTATCTAGACGGGAAGTTGGTGCAAATATTGACTGCCTTTGCCCCAATAGAACGCCCTGTAATTATAGCTGTATCTAGACTGGAAGTTGGCCCGAATACACAGCTTAAATGACCGGCCGTTTTTCGGGTGAAGACGGGAGCCAGAAGTGGCTGAAGTGGCATCACAAAGTTTAACTGCGCCGCAAGAGGGGCACAACTGGGAAGAGGTTTCAGGCGCAGCAGATGCTGTGAGGGGTGTTTTCCAAATTTGATCCAGTGTCAGAAGGGCACCCTGCAAATTTCAGAAATTACAGCGGCGGCCTGCTGCACTGGTATTGTACGCCCATGCACTTCCCTCATTCTCTCTCTCTCTCTCTCTCTCTCCCCCCATGGTTGAGCGGGTGTATAGATTTAGTTTTCTGGCTGTGACAGATGTACGCCCATGCACTTCCCTCATTCGCTCTCTCTCTCTCTCTCTCTCTCTCTCTCCCCCCATGGTTGAGCGGGTGTATAGATTGAGTTTTCTGGCTGTGACAGATGTAGTTTCGCAGAAGCACCACTCTGTGTCAGGGGTTTAGACTGATTGGATTGCATGGTTGGTGTAATCTACGACTTTTCTCAGGGATATCACTAACTCTGGGCGACGTGGTGAGTCCTTATCCATCAGTACAATGCATGCTGTGCCGACTGTCAGGGTTCAACCTCCCAATGAGTCGCTGAAAGTTGGATGAAACAGCCTCGCACATTCATGGGCTTTTTGTGGACTTGTTTATAAACATGACGACAAGCACTTACACACACACACATGCACACACACACACACACACACACCGCGCACACACACACACACGCACACACACACTCTGTCACACACACACACTCCGTCGTCATCTTTCCGTGGCCCCCATGTGTGTGTGTGTGTGCGAATGCACACACATTGAGCACACGCACACACTGCGCTCACACACACACTTTCTGTTGCAATCTTTCCATGGCCATGTGAGTGAGAATGTGTGTGTGTGTGTGTGTGCGGAAAATTGTCTGTGCTTGTTTTTTTTTGTTGGTTCTCTGTTTTTCTTTCTCTAGCGTTTTATTTGGTTCTCTTTTCTTTTTTCTCTAGCGGTTTATTTGGTGTCCGAGCATGCGTTTCCTCATGCTCGTTTGGCCTTCTTTGTACCTGGTGGGACTTTCGAAAACATTCTCAGCTGTTGTGTGTGTGTGCGGAAAACATTCTCAGCTGTTCCTGTTCATTCAATGCTTTATTAGCATGTGCCCGAACGCTGGTACTTGGACACAAAAAGCAATAGCAATCAACACAATTTCAACTGGTGTGGTTTAAACCACCACCAGTACTTGGCCCAGCTATCGGCTGTGGAAAAGAATAGAGTAGAAACGTTTCTAGTTGGATGATTTTGGACGCTCCTGTAGTGGTCTGTACATTTTCTAAAATCGTGGCTTGCTAACGGGCACAGTTTTAGGAAGTACTTACTGGTGGTTTAAACGTAATGTAATTGTTGTGTAGATTTACTTAACCATGGTGGGCTAATATTTCTTTTTCAGCATGTTGGTTAAACTCTCTCCTTTCTCCCCCCCCCCCGCCCTTCTCTTTTAAAGATTATAAACCGCTTGGATGATTAAATGGATGGATTGTTCTGTTTGTTATTTGTTTTAATCATTGCAGGTTGTTATTTCACGACGAAGGCATATCACCTTCAGTTGGGTGGTGCGTCTGCGGTGCTGGTGATGGACAACAAAGAAGAGGAGCTGATTACAATGGACGCGCCGGATGCGACGATCACGGACGAGAACAGGACGATTTCGGAGGAGGACATTACGATCCCAACGGTGCTGATTCGGATGCAGGACGGAAATAAAATCAAGGAAGCGCTCAGGCAGAAGCAGTTGGTGAGTGTTGTTCTGGATTGGACGGAGTCGATTACGAACCCGGACCAGCGGGTGGAGTACGAGCTGTGGACGAACTCGAACGACAAGTGCGGCGATAAGTGCAACATGATAAAAAATTTTGTGACGGAGTTTAGGGGAATCGCGCAGAACTTGGAGAAGGGAAAGTACACACAATTCACGCCGCACTTCATCACCTGGTACTGTCCTCTGACGTACGTGGACACACATCAATGCCAGTCGCAGTGCATCAACCACGGAAGGTATTGCGCTCCCGATCCTGAGCAGGACTTCACGACGGGATACGATGGAAAGGATGTCGTCATGGAGAATCTGAGACGGCTCTGCATTTTCAAGCAGTTGAACGACTCGGGCAAACCGTGGAAGTGGTGGGATTACGTGTACGATTTCAGTGTGCGATGTCCCATGGACGGCCCGAATGGCCAGCAGCTCTACAATCAAGCTTGTTCTGAAGAGGTCATGAAGTCGCTCGGTGCGTAGCTACAAGCCGACTACCTCGTTCAGGTGTCCGTCTACTGGTCGAATGTTCATTCGAAGCACATAACTGCTCTCGTGTTTTGGGAAACAAACAAAAAAACAAACTACTCTATATTCTTCTCTCATATTCTTTTTGCCTTTCACATATTCTTTTTGACTTTCACATATTCTTTTTGCCTTTCACTACCTACGCTACCACTACTCCTAAGGCTATATAGAGGGGACCCCTGCAAGCATAGCTACCTCGCACAATGAAGCAAGCTGGCTCGCGTTCCAGCAGTGGAAGTCGGAGATGGGGTGGGGCTGCCGGTGGGGGTCCGGCTAATTGCAAAGACCGAGCATTCTGCTAGTATCTGCACCTCCCTCTTCATCGACCGACCGACACCCCCAATCGAATAGCAGTAGTGTCTAAGGCCAACACTCTCCCACACACCACGCGCAACCCACTCACACTCACACTCGCACTCACACTTGCACTCACACTTGCACTCACACGTGTTGGGTATACTAGCACTTACCTTCAATGCATCTCACCATAAATAACAAGAAACACACGTAACATATTTGCAAGAACAACAATCTTAGGTGCTGTAGAAAAGAAAGCTGTGACAAAAGTAGAAGGAACCCTCGTATACATCAGGATCCAGGTGCACTGTTATGAAAAGGAACTGCAGTTATTTTCCGTAAAAACCCTACAGCAATACGATACGTAAAATTCCCATGAAAATACCACTCACCTGCATGTATCTGGGTACCATTGCGTCCAGAAGTAGAGAAGTCCTAGTGTGATCTAAGAATGACTCGCTGTCCCGTTGCCGGCTTGCCAGCATTCGGCCGCAGGTTGGAGGCCAGGGCCGCTGGGCGGGCGGCTAATGAAATTCATCAACTGCCGGCGGGCCTGATTCCTAAGGTCGTGGCGTGTGCTTGCCAGGCAAGAACATGAAAAAGGCTGGGAAGCGTATTGGGGGTTCAAACCACCAGTGCTTCCTAAAGCCGTGCCCGTAAACAAGCCGTGACTATATAACACGTATGGGCCACTACAGAAGCGTCCAAATTCATCCGACTAAAAATGCTTCTAGTCTTTTTTTTTTTGCATGGCCGACAGCTGTGAAACGGTATTCACCTGTTTGCAGTAGCGAATGCAGATCCCATGGCTCGATCCCTAGACTTACCTTACCTGTGTACATTATCTGTGTCGACCCCAGGAGTTGAACCCACGACCTGTCTGTTCCCACAGTTGGTAGACTGTCGTAGGGGCTATAGATGGTAGGGGTTCTATCTGTAGACCTGTCGAATAGTGGTCTTAGTAGTTCTAGAAGTCGTAGCTGTAGGACCTCTGAAAGGTCAAGGTCGTAGCTGCTACAGTCCTGAAAGGTCAAGGTCGTAGCTGCTACAGTATGCGAAAGACCAGAGTTGAAACTTCCGGAAGGTCCTGGTACTGGCCTTTCGGAGCTGCTCACGTTTAGACTGAGGCAAGTGGGCAAGTGGTGGAGTCTACCCGTGCTGAGTCAGCAGTCTCAGTCCCAGTCAGTCCTAGTCCAGTCAAGCAAGTACTGTACGGGACTGTGTGCACCACGGGCATGGGAAAGGGCAAGACCAACGAGCTACAGAAGTATAAATCAAGAGGTAGCGCCCAGCCATTTCATTCATTCCTGCGTAAGCCATGCGGGAGCGCTGCCACAGCGACTTGTGCGAGGTGGTCTGCAGTGAGCCTGCGAGAAGGAAGCTCAGCCATAGCGATAGGGTAGTAGCGGCCATAGCCGCCATAGCTGATAGGAGAGAGTAGCGTGTGTGAGTGTGTGAGTGTATGGTGTGCTGCGTGTGGGATATCCAGGGTGATCCTGAGTGCGAACAGCAGTGTTGAGTGAGTTGACGAACAGAGAGTTGTACAGGTGCTGTGCCGCCATAGCCATTTGAAGTGAACTTGTATCCGAACTGTGTTCTTGGCTACCGTATCTCTGATCTGAGTGGGCGCTTGTCGCCAGTTCGCTGCGCAACCTGTTTGCATGCGTGTGAAGTGTGAATGAAAGCGAGTCTGATTGCAGCTGGGCCAAGTACTGGTGGCTTTTAAGTGTGGGTAATCCTTCTCTAGTAGTTGTGGGTAAAGGGAATCAAACCCGTATCGGTAGCTTGGAAGGGTATAGTCGATTTGAAAAAAAAACAGTTTTCAAATGGAATGAAGCCTTTGACTGTGTGTGTCAGTGTTGTCAGTGGTCCCCACCCCACTGACAGGAGACTGGTCTGATTGTGGTGTTCAGTTGATTTGTTTTTTTTTTTCCTTCTTTTTTTTTTTGAATTTAAAATTGAACCGTTTCCTGATTTATGCGCGTCATCGTTGCGCAGGGGCCATGCTAATCTTCTTTCTTTGCAGTGTTGCAATTTTGATGGATGGCCCAAGTCGATCGACTGATGGCCTGTTTTTCAGATGAAGATGGCCGGTCGACGAGTTTGAACGGTCGTGATTGCTTCTTCTGTTTCTTGTCGTTATGGGTGGAATAGGTGAAGGGCCATTTCACAGCAAAGTAACTTTCGCTTCGACAAACTGTCGACGAATCAAGCCTGCGGGTATGGACAGGTGGTGAAGTATTAGAAACCATCTTGAATGTGAAAGTCACAGGGGTTGGGCATGTTTCCGACATTGGAAAATTGCACTGGAATTTTTTGAATGCCTTGCTTGGCTTTAATGGCGAGGCTCGCCAAAGCTTCCATGGCATCTTGACAACTACGCCCTGTAATGAGTTTTTTTTTTAATTATAAATAAATCAAATAAATCCATAAGAGTTAGGATTGAAATGGGCTTCCCATTCGAGTTTCTAGAACCATTTTAGATAATAATAGGCCGCGTTCCACTGCTCTCGCTATGTGCGAAACGAGCCCATTCAAGTTTCTAGAACCATTTTAGATAATAATAGGCCGCATTCCACTACTCTCGCTATGTGCGAAACGAGAGTGAATCTTCCGCTAGAACATGGAAAGATGCACCGCCATGATTTTTGACTTTCGTGCATGTGAGAGTAGTGGAGGGAGGTCCAATGTGTCTGTTTAGCACGATCCGTAAGAAAATAGGAAGTGGTCACGTCCCCGGGGGAGATACACTCAAGACCTTGAATGACCCGATGTCTGTTTAGCGCAATCCGCAAGAAAATATGAAGTGGGGCGCGTCCCCGGGGGAGATACACCCAAGACCTTGAAATGTTGAACGCCCGTTTTTTTTTACTATCGGAAATTTCTAGATTATGCACGCTTTTGATTTGAAAAGTTGCGTTGTGACTGGTTCTTTTTTGCCAGATGTGGATGTGGCGAATGTCGCTGCGTGTGTTGGAGACAAGGATGCCGATAAAGATAATGACATCTTGAAGAGAGAACAGGAGGCTCAGGTGAGGTGGGGGCACGGGAACTTGTCGGTGTCTGGTCATGATCGTGCGAGCCTCTGTTTGTCTCATCTGCGACGTGCGCCTCTTATATGCCTCATTTGTTTGCGTGCGAATTTCACACATCACAGGCAGGAGATGCTGCGCTTCGTCTCATTTCGTTTTGTTTCGTTTTGTTTGTTTTGTCTTGCCTTGTTTTTCGGTGAAAGGGGCAACAGCCTTGTGATACTTGCTCTTTACTCTTTATGGAACTGATTGTCCCCTGGTAATTCAGAGGTAGTTTAAAATTCAGACATAGTTGGGGTTCGAACTTGGGTCTGTTTATCAAGAGATCAACAGTTGATGGGTCTGTTGGGGTATTTTAAATTCAGCGACATAGACTCAATAGCTGCTTGCGTTTTAGAAAGGTCCTAATCTCATTGTGATTGTTCATTCGTTTGATCCCCCAACAGGATGTGCGAACAGATACAATGTATTCATAAACTTCTCTTTGCTGTTTTAATGTGAAAACCACCGTCTTCCCCCGATTGGATCGCACCCTCGTTTTGGCTGTATGTGACCAGATATATAGCGTCGATACATTCGTTATCAGGGTGCATTATGTTCGGGGCGGTTGTCTCCCTTGACTTCTCTTTGCTGCTGCTTTAGTGTGGAAAGGGTTTCGCCCCTGCCGATTACCGACGCTGACCTGCACTGACCGTATTGCAGCCGACCGGTAGGGCCGACCGGTCGGCGTTCTGCCGGCCAGTCAGAAAACAACCATCCACTGATTTTTTTCAAATCTGAGTTGGGGCCTGTACTGCGCTTGCTGAGTACAAGCCCAAATCCGCTGACAAACTTTTGGGGATGGGGGGGGTGGGGTTGGAGTATTGGGGGGGTATAAGGGGGTATAAGGTTGATATAGGGGGTATTGGGGTGGGTAATAAGGGTGTTGGGGGGGGTGTGTGGGGGTATTGGGGGCCGGTATGGGGGTGTTGGTGGTGTTATTAGGGGGTTTTGCGGGGTGCCGATGACCCCCGACTGGTAGGTGCCGACCAGTCAAGGGCTGCCGACCGTCGGGGGTTCCAACACTGGTGGAAAATTACCTTCTTCACCCGATACACGTACGGTCATTCTTGCTGTATTTGGACTGAAAGAGGACCCAAATACAGTTATAATGGCCGTATGTACGTGGTATTTGGGTGAAGAAGGTAGCTGTGGGACTGATATCGGGGTTTGATCCTTACAGATGTGTGCAGGAGACACATCCATCACACCCCAAATATAGCTATAATGACCGCACGTATGCTGTATTTGGGTGCATATTTGGGTGTCTTTGGGTGTATATGGCTGTGTGCAGGAGACACACAGCCATCACACCCCAAATTTAGCTGTGGGACTAATACCGGGGTTTGATCCTTGCAGATGTGTGTGCTGGAGACACAGCCATCACAATGTGGCCCTGTTTGTGGTCTATATTCACTAGTAATTTAGTTAAGTAGTCTGCATCAAGGTAGATGTGGATCTGTAAAGCATTGTGATTCTTTTGCCGAGGCTTCAGCGCGATTCTCAAGTTGGTTGGGGCCATGTATGTACCGGTGGTTTGAGACTCACCCTGTTTATCAGCATCAAAATGACGCCTTTATGATGAAAGGTAACCACTTTATGATGGATTCAAAATTCAACCCCCTTTATGATGGCTTCAAAATTTCACATTCTTGTGTGCGCACATCTTGTTACTCCAACATGGCTCATTGTGATACTCCAGCTTGGTGGGGAGTCTCAATCTGCCTCGGCAAAAACAGGCTCGGACGTACGGGTCCTTTTAATCACCAGTATGTGTTTCAGTGTCTCTGTTATAAATGGACTGTGCCTAAACTGCGGCAAATTACTAAGCCGAAACTGGACGGAAATGAACAGGCCTGTGGGGTTGCGATTCGACCGTGTTGGTTTGTGCGACACCTCCTAAAAGCCTGCAGGCGTCCTGTCGGCAGCCGTAGGTTACTTGTCTCTATACCTTGCTCGCTTCTTCGGAGTAGTTTTTCCGTGTAGAAACACTTCTGAGTAGAAACACTTCTTCTGAGTAGTTGAGCCAGCGGCCTTTCTCAGTTGGTTTTGCAGGCAAGGGCATTCAGGAGGTCATGGGTTCAATCCCCCATAGCCGCCTGCCGCGTGCTTGATGTTCGTCAGCTGAAGTAGTCGGCATGCCCTCTCCCCCCCCCCCCCCCCTGTGGTCGGTCTTGGTCGGGTCCTGGGTTCTCTGAGAGGCCGTTGCCCCTGGCATTCCTTGCTGGGGGTAGTGCTTAGGTTTGCCTTCCTTCCTGTCCTTAGACACGTGACCCCTGTTCTTGTGCTTAGACATGTAGGCAGGTGGCGTGAGGTGTAATTGTGAGAATAATGTAGTCTTAGAAAACGAAAAAGAAGCTGAATCTGGGTGAAAACTGTAAGTAAAGGGGTATCATGATATCATCATACTTTTCTCCCTGAGCGGATCGATTAGTGTGTTGGGAGTTCGAATTGTGGGAAAACTGAGTATGGCTGTTGTGTGCTATTCCAACAGGTGGGGGGAACTTTGAGCTTGGAGATGTAACTTGTGTTGGGACTTTGAATTGTGTATGGCGGTTGTCTGCCATTCCAACAGGTGGGTAACGATGAGCGTGGAGATGTAACAATTTTGCCGACGCTGATCATCAACAACGCTCAATATAGAGGTATGTAGAACCACACACTTTTTTTGCTCTATGTGGTTGCCTGGCTGGATAGATGAGCTGATGATGCTTCTGGGCGCTGTCCTCCTCCGTCGTTTCTTTTGATGTACTTCAGCTCACGGGTTCCTTTGTTCTGCCTACGGGCTTCGCTCCATTAAACAACACTCTCACCCTGAACCATCAGGAGTCGTCCTAATGAGGAGTCGTCCTAAACAAACACTCGACATGCATTTGCACGCGCTGAATGAGGAGTCGTCCTAAACAAACACTCGACATGCATTTGCACGTGCTTTCTGGACATGCAAAGTTTGGACAAGCCCAACATTTTGAATCTATAGAGTCCAGCACGCTCAAATGCATGGAGAGTCTTGTGTAGTGGAGCGAGGCCCTTTCCTTTTCGAACCTGTACCTGTGCCCTCCTGGACCTTTTCACCCAGGGGTTTCTGAGGCTCATCCCGTACTTAGCTTCTCTCCACGTTATCCAAACCGCTCTGCACCTGTTGCCTCGATGTGTGCGTGCATGTCCGCTGGACCTCTTCTCATCAACTGCTCTGTGGACCACATGCTGTCCGAACCTCTCGCGTTGCGCTCCCACCGTGGCTCTCAACTGTTCTCCCGTTGAGTTCCGAACCTTCGACCTTCCCCAACCCGATCTTGTCGTCCTTTTTTTTTTTTTTTTTTTTTTTTCTGTCCCTTCCCTATCTCTCCTTGCTCGTCTTCTAATCCCGCTCCTTAATTGCATCTCCCTCCTGTTTTGTCTCTCCTTTTTTTGCTGAATCTCCTTCCACCATTCCTCTCTCATACCACCCTCTCGTGTAAACCAGTCGAGGAGCGACTCTCTTTCGTCCTTGCCTTCGATCTGCATGCCACTGTCTTCCCCCGAGCAAATGCGTCCTCCATTATGAATGTACACGAGCTATCTTTCAGGTCGGGTACTGCCGAACAAATGCATCCTCCTTTCTGAATGTATGCGAGCTATCTTTCAGGTCCGATACAGTCAGGACGAGGGTGCATTTTTTCAGGGGAAGACGGTGTTTTTGGGGATTGTTATCTGGGTGCTACCAACTGTGGCTGATGCTATTTCGTGATCAAACCTGGGTGGGGTTCCGGGCCGCCCGGCGGACCGGTGGGGGGCCGGGTGGGGTCCCGGGCGGCCTGGCCGGGCAGTGCACCCGGTCGGTCCCCGGCCTCCCCCCAGCGCACAGGGTATTTCAGGGTTTTCCGACCCCATTTCGAATGCTGGTGGGTTCCCGCAGGCCTATCGGGTCCCACCGACCAGAAAACCCGCGGCATCGGGCCCTATAGGCCTGCGGGAGTGGGTTTGAAAGTTGCGGCGGGTCTGTGGCCGTGGATCCGCCTTGAACGACGGCCACAGAGCCGTCGCAAGTTTCCCGCCCAGATCTGAATGGCGGCGATCTTGCCCGCAGCCCGTCCGTGGGTGTTCGCTGGAGCTGCCCCCTTCGACCCGCAGCCTTTCGAAGTTGCGCCACCCGTGGTTGTTCGCTGGAGCTGCCCCCTTCGCCCGTCATTCGTCGTCGTCGTTTGCAGGAGCTTGTCTTCCTCGCCCGCCGCGCGTCGTCGTTGTCAGCTTGAGCTGGTTGTCGTCGGCCGTCGCCGTTTGCAGGAGCTGCCCCCTTCGCCCGTCGCCGTTTGCAGGAGCTGCCGCCATTCTTCTTCTTCTTCTTCTTCTTCTTCTTCTTCTTCTTCTTGTGTACCGTGGATGTTGGTTAGGTCGCGCGGGACTCGGAAGGTAAGAAAAGCAGAAGGGAGGCCGTCAGGCATGTCGAGCCTTCCCCTCATCTTTTTCTTCTTCTTCTTCTTCTTCTTCTTCCCCCACAATCTTTCTTCTTCTTCGTCTTCCCCTTTGTCCCCCCCTCTTCTTCTTCTTCTTCTTCTCCTGCTTCTTCTTTTTCTTCTTCTTGCATCAGTCGAGCTTCGGCAGTTAACTTATATTTATCTTCTTCGGCCTTTTGGCTGTTTGGGGCAGGGCACATCTTCGACGACCTTAGGCAGTTGTCGCGAACGGCGAACGGGAAAAAAAAAGGCCGTCCTCCTCCCCCTCCTCCGCTCTTCTTCTTCTTCTTCTTCTTCTTCTTCTTCTTCTTCTTCTTCTTCTTCTTCTTCTTCTTCTTC